ATTTGCTGATGCAGCACAACTCTAAATGAGAAGAAACAGCTGCAAATATCCATTATTAATCAGAGCATGGAACATAGAAATATGAGTCTAAGAAAATTGCTGTTGTTGTGTGCCGTTGAATCAGTTCCAACTCATAGTGAAGCTGTATATGGTCTCCATGGAGTAGCTGATGAATTTGAACCACCAACCTTGCAGTTCAAACCAACCTTGAAGTCAAATGCTCATCCTATGTCATGACTGATATTAGCCATTTTGAATGAGACAATTATATGGTTTACTATGTCAGAAATGACAAATTGAAGAAGAATGGTGTCACATTGATCTAAAAGAACACTTCAAGATCTATTTTTCAATAAAATGTTATTTGTCACAAGATAATACCCATATGCCTACAAGGAACACCAGTTAAAACCACTATTATTCAAATTTATACACTTACCACTAAAGCCATACATGATGAAGTTGAAGAATTCTACCTACTTCTTCACTCTGAAACTGATCAAATGTTCAATAAAGATGCATTGATAATTGCTGTGATTGGAACATGAAAGTTAGAAGCAAAGAGGAAGGATCAGTAATTGGAAAATACGGCTTTAGTGATAGAAAGATGTAATGCTGAAGATCACATAATAGAATTTTGTAAGACCAATGAATTCTTCCTTGCAAATAACACAAATGGTGACTATAGATGTGGACCTTACCAGACGGGATACACAAAAATCAAATTGGCTACATTGGTGGGAAAAGGTAACGGAGAAACTCAATATCATCAGTCAAACTAAGGCCAGAGGCCAGCTGTGGAACAGACTTTCAATTGCTCTTATGCAAGTTCAGGCTAAAGTTGAAGACAACTCAAACAAGTCCACGGGAGCCAATATATGACCTTGAATATATCCTAGCTGAACTTAGAAAATATCTCAAGAACAGATTTGAGGCAAAAGACACAAATGACCAAAAACCAGAAAAACTGTGGATGACATCAAGAATATCATACATGAAGAAAGCAAGAGATCATTAAAAAGACAGGTATGAAAGAATAGACCAATATGGATGTCAGAAGAGACTCTTAAACTTGTTCTTGAGCATAGAGAAGCCAAACAAATGGAAGAAATGAGGAAGTAAAAGACCTGAACAGGATCAGCTTGAGAAGACTAAGTAAACATTATAATGAAATGTCCAAAGACATGGATTTAGAAAACAAAGAGAAGAACATACTCAGAATTTCTCAAGCTAAAAAAACTGAAGAAAAATATTGAGCCTTGACTTATAATACTGAAAAATTCTATGATGCAGGAAGCATCAAAAGAAGATGGAAGGAATAAACAGTCATTATACCAAAAAGAATCAATAGATGTTCAACCATTTCATAAAGTAGCATATAACCAAGGACTGATGGTATTGAATGAAAAAGTCCAAGCTGCACTGAAGGCATTAGCAAAACACAAATTACCAGGAACCAATAGACTACATATTCCAACCAATTGGAAGAGATCCATGTTTTTGCCCATTCCAAAGAAGATGCAACAGAATGTGTAAATAATAGAACAATATCATTGTATCACATTTAAGTAAAATTTTACTGAAAATAATTAAAACCCAGTTGCAACAGCACATCGAAAGAGAACTGCCAATAATTCAAGCCTGATTCAGAAGATGATGTAGAAATTGCTGACATCAGATGGATCTTGGCTGAAAGCAGAGAATACCAGAAAATTGTTTACTTGTGCTTTATTAACAATGCAAAATCTTTCAACTGCATGGAGCATGGCAAACTATGGATAGCATTGCAAAGAATAGGTATTCCAGAACACTTAATTGTGCCAATGTCCTTAGACCAAGAGGCACTCTTTGGAACAGACAAGGGCATAAATGGTTTAAAATCAGGAAAAGTGTGCACCAGGGTTGTGTCTTTCTCCTTACTTCCTCCATCTGTACTCTGTGCAAATAATCCAAAAAAACCTGGATTATATGAAGAAGCATGTAGCATCAGTATTAGAGGAAGATTTATTAATAACCTGCAATATGCTTATGGATACAATGTTGTATTCTGGAAGCAAAGAGGACTTAAAATGCTTATCAATAAAGTTCACAGACTACAAACTTCATATGGAATACACCTCAATGTAAAGAAAACAAAAATCTTTACAAATGGACCAGTAAATAAATCATGATAAATGCAGAAAAGATTGAAGTTATCAAAGACTTCCTTTTGCTCAGGGAAGCAGCAGCCAAGAAATCAAACAATGTATTGCATTATGCATGGCTTCTGCAAAAGGCCTCTTTAAATTGATAAAAGAAGAAGTTACTAGTTTGAGGATTGACATGCTCCTGACTCAACCATGGTATTTTCAATCTCCTTATATGCATGTGAAAGTTGGACTATGAATAATGAAGACCATAGATGAATCTATGCGTTTAAATTATGGTGTTGGCGAAGAATATTGAAAGTACCATGGACTGCCAGAAGAACACCAAATCTGATTGGAAGAAGTGTAGCCAGGAAGTTCCTTAGAAGTGAGAATGGCAAGACTTCATCTCTTGTGCTTTGGACATATTATTAGGAAGAAACAGTTCCTGGAGAAGGACATCATGCTTGAAAAAGTAGAGGGTTAGTAGAAAAGAGAAAGAACCAGAACAAGATGGATTGACACCATGGCAGCAATAATGAGCTCAAACATAACAGATGTGAGATGGTTCAGGACTGGACAGTGAGTTTCATTCTGTTGTGCATAGAACATTATGAATCTGAACTGACTCCATGGCACTTAATAACAACAACTATTGTAAAAGGTCAAGAAGAGTTTTCCACACTAAAATAAACTTTCTGTGATGGTTACTAGGGGTGAGAAAAAAGGGGGAGTAAATCACTGGCTAAAGAGTTGACATGTTTACTTGGGTGAAGGAAAAGGTAATATATAAAAAGAAGGGGGTTGGCAAAAGAATTATGGAAGCACTGGAAGACACTAGTAGAAGTACAAGAATTAAAGACCATAAAGACAAATAGTGTTATATAAACAATTCTACAATAACAGTGACTTACGGGTAGATGCAGGGTTAGACACACAGGCTGAGCAGGTGTGACAGGGAGGCTGGAAGTATACCCACTAATGCACAAAGGTTTGACAAAGGATATTTGTACATGGGCATTTAGCTTTGCTGCAAAAATATACATGACTGCAGTGGAGCATGCTGGGTAAAGTTGCATAAACGTTTTAGACGTTTCCAAACACTTTGAAGGAATAAGTCATTAGGACTGGTGGCTCAAGACTATAGTCTTGGTGGACACTGTAGTCGATTGGCATAGCATAGTCCACAAACACGATGTTCTGCATTCTACTTTGCTGAATAGTCACTGGGATCTTAAAAGCTTATGAGTGGTCATATAAGATGCAACTATTGGTTTCTCATTACCCAGAGGAAAGAAGAGTAATGAAAATTGAAGTCACTCAGAAACAATTAGTTCAATGGACTAATGAATCACATCAACATCAGTCTCCATGACCTTGAGACCAGAAGAACTAGATGGTGTCCGATTACCACTGCCCACTTTTCTGAAAGAGATAACATTAGAAGGTCCTGTACTAAGTGGGAGAAAATGTGGAAGAATACTCAAAATTATAACAAAGACCAGACTTACTGGTCAGATAGAGACAGCTGGAACCCTGAGATTATCATCTTGGTCACCCTTCAGGTTTGGAACTGTGGCTCAATTTTTAGCCAAGCAATTGATAGGTGTATATAGGTAGACAACTCTAGTGTGTCATGCACACCATAGAATGCTCAACCATTTGAGATAAAAAAAAGGGGGGGGGCAGCATATACTTAAGGACAAAGTTCAGAGGGTTGGGGGGAAAAGGAGGCTTGGAAACAAGAAGCACAATGAGGAAGTGGGCTAAATTAGGCTGCATGGAAGGGATTGCAATCACTGAGATGAAACAAGGTGTATGCTTTGTTGAACGTAAAACTGATGGTCTGCTCTGCAAACCTTCACTCAAGTCACACAAAAAAGTTTTTAAGGAATGAATTTGGGAATAAAAACTTTTGCCACTATGTGGTGATTATTCCTACTGATAATTTCTGCTTTATTGTCTATTTCAAGTTATATTAATATAACTGTTCATAGCTATCTTTTAGTCAGTACATATATTGTTCCATCATTTTGTTTAAAACATTTACATGTCATGTTTTTAAAAGCATATTGCTTATTTGCTTTTCTATCAAGTTTGTGCTTTGACACATTATGGTCTAATTAAAGAATATTTTTAAATGAATGAAATAATGCTATATATCCTCTGAGGGTTCAATACATACCAATGAGCAGGCAAATGAGTTTAAAGATTTTCATTCTTCTCAAATCAGAAGGACATAGCTAACTTTCTATGTCTAATTGGAAGAACTTGAATGGGGCCAATAAAGATGACAAGAGGAGGTTAGTTTGCAACAATGTGCACTCCATACCACTACTGTGCCTTCAATTCTAGTGCTAATCAACTTTTATGTAATAGAGTGCTAGTTTCCTCTTCTCCTTGCAAACTTATAAAATCTGTGGCGACAGGGCAATGCCCAGATGTGTCTGGTCCATAGATGATGTGTAATACATTAGAAAAAAAAAAAAAGTGAGTGAATGAAAAAATGAACAAAGGTGAGGATGAGGGTACAGAGGTGATAGAGGGCAGTGGGAAACAAAATGGTGCCAGGTCTAGGGCAGTGACCCAGATAGCTGAGGTCTGAGGTTGGCCACTCCAGTAAAGTTTCTTTCTTCTAATCCACTTCTAATTCTTCCTGGAAGGATTAAGTTCTCTGGAAAACCATCAAAAATTGTTATGGGAGTAACAAGCACAAATAATGCTCAAACATCAGGAGGATCTGGGCACTGAAAGCCACTTCTGTTCCCTGTCCTTTAGCTGAGGGGATGGAGGAGGGTTTGCAAAGCCAGAACTCCTTTCAGGGGGTTTTAGAAGCTATATAAAGTACCAGGCTGAGGGCTTGCTCTCTCATTCTGCAGTTGGTGCCAGAGTTCTCAGTCCTCCAGGGAAAGAAAATGTCCATCCAGTAAGTGTCTCTGGGAGAATTTTTAAAATACCTTAGTGGGATTAATGATAAATGGCCTTTTTCAAAGAGCTCCTGAAGAAAAAGCATTTACTGGTGACCTGATTAAATCTTGGAGGGGGAGTTGTTTCCTACTTACAAACTGAAGCAAGTATCTAGACTATAGATCTAAATGACATTGGATTTGTAAAACTTAGAATGAGGCTTGTAAGCATTTATAACTATGGGATTTTAGGTAGGCAGACTTCAGTTCCAATTCTTGCCCAGCCATTTCCTAGCTGTGCTGACTTTGGACAAATTACTTTTTTCTTTAAGTGTCAGTATTTTTTTCCACATATTGAATGACTATAACAACAGCACCCACCCCATTGTGCTTTTGTAAGGTTTAAATGAGCTAATAGCATGCCAAGTTCTTTGTATGATGTATGAAAATAAGTGCTTACTCAACAACATACAAAGTTATGATTAGTATGATCAGAATATTATGACTAGTATGATCAGAGTGCCCAATCTAATAAGCTATGAAAATACAGCCAAAGCAAGGTGAGGGGGAAAATATCTGGAAGCTGCATCTGTAGATCTTAATATAAAACTATATATATATACACATATACATATATAATAGTGGTGGTGGTATATATACATATATAATAGTGGTGGTGGTGGTGTGCTAACCTCAAGGTCAACAGTTCGAAACTACCAGCTGTTCTGTGGCAGAAAAACGAGGCTTTCTGCCCCGTAAAGATTTAAAGCCTTGGAAACCCTATATAGGGTCGCTATGAGTCAGAACCAACTCCATAGCACATAACCACCAACCATATACATATAAGGGTTCTTGTGTGGCGCTGTAAGACAAAACACTGGATTGCTAACTGCAAGGCTGATGGCCTAAAGCCACCCGTCGCTCCTCAGAAATCCTATCTCTATAAATCGGAAACGACTTGATTGGCACTTAATAATAACAACAACATACATATGTATGTGTGTTGTTGTTGCTGTTAAGTGCTGTCGAGAACTCATAGCAACCCTGTAGAGGGTTTCCTAGGTTTTAAATCTTTACAGGAGCAGAAAGTCTTATCTTTCTCCCACGTGGAGTAGCTGGCCGGCTGGAATCATGGACTTTGTGGTTCGTAGTCTACTGCTTATTGTATGGCACCACCGCGCTCTTATATATGTATTTGTTTTTGTTGCTAAGTGCCGTCGAGTCGCTTCCCACTCATGGCTACCTTGTATAGGGTTTCCAAGGAACAGATGATGAACTTGAATCTCTAACCTTACAGTCTTGCACATTAACCCACAGCGCCACCCCAGGAGTATATATATATATACTGCAACTCTTGAAGATTAGTGGAGAAATGAGATGATGAGAAGAGATGGTGATAAAAAAATGATGAATAACAAAGTGGGAGGTCCCTAAACTATAAAGGTGTTGTCCTTCAACCTGTAGGAAGAAGACGTGTGATTCTCTCTGTGAGTCATGAGAAGCAACGATGCAGTGAGGTGAAAGGAGGGTTGTTGTGGTGGTAGCGTATTGTCCAGTCAATTTCCACTCACGGGTCTCATATAAGACACAGTATAACTGTCTCAAAAATTTCCTGGGCTGGACTCTTTTCTGGAGCAGATTGCTGTCTTTTTTCCTGCAGAGTTGCTGGTGGGTTCAAACCACTAACCTTTTAGTCAGTAGCCAAGCACTTAACCATTGCACCACCAAGGTTCCTTGAGACTAGAGATACAAAAACAAAACAAAACCAAAAGACATTGCCATGAGTGGATTCTGACACACAGGGATCCCACAGGACAGATTAGAACTGCCCCAGAGGGTTTCTTTCCAAGGCTGTAATCTTTACATCTTGTTTCCTGCAGAACAAATAGTGGATTCAAAGTGTCAACCTTTCATTTGGAAGCCAAGTGCTTTAGCCACTGTGACATCAAGCTTCTTTGAGAGTAGGGGTTCATTGTTGTTATTCAGTGCTGTTGATTCAGTTCTGACTCATAGCGACCTTAGATAAGGTTTCCAAGGTGCAGTTGGTGGGTTTGAAATGCCAGTCTTATAGTTCAAACTGACCTTGAGGTCTGGTGCTCTTATCCCAAGCATCACATCAGGATTCTGAAAGTAGGCATGTGCATGGTAATTCTGTGGAAAGTTTTAAAGTTCCAGAAAAGGATCGGGAGCAGCAGGATTAGTCCATTTGTCTTCAGAAACAGGAGAAGACTGTAGAGGGTAGGATTAAGCCTACTGTGAGCACTGACATTAAGAGAGAGGTCATCAAAGGAGGAGCTCTAAGCTGGGACCCCATGTGCTGAGGAGATTGCTATCCTCCCTGATCATCTGCCTACGGTCAGACAGACTAGCAGTGGGGCGCTGACATGGAGCCTGAGAGCATTCTTTCTCAGAGTTCGGCTTCTGTCTCCAAGGACTTAGAATATCAGCATGGGCTTCTTTCTGACTGTTCTATTTCAGAGTGGAGCATCCTGCTGCTGGTTACAAGAAACTGTTTGAAACTGTGGAGGAACTTTCCTCGCCACTAATAGCTCACGTCACAGGTTGGTCCCATCTTGAAGCCATCTTCTATTTTCTGTCTAGCTCATTTTTTCTCAAGTTTCTTAGTGATTGGTATCCCAAAGTACTGATTCAGGGTGTGGGACACAATCTGAGGCCTTGGGTTTTTAAACTAATAACCCAAATTCTCTCATTTGCTTTTTTTTTTCTTTCTTTTTTCTAATACAGAAAATGCTACCTGACTAAAATTCCTTGCAGACTGTATTACATCGCTGTTATCTTTGACTGTCTGTGTGTAGCAGTACCTGACACATAGTAAATGCCCTATAAATGCTTGTCCTGTCAGTGTATGAATAAACAAGGGCCTGGTGATAAGCATGTTGAGAAGTATATTAAAGGGTATTGGGTTTAATCCCCATTAAATTATAAGAGTATTGCTTCTGAAGTCAGGCAGATGTAGTTGCCAATTGTAGTTCTACTAATAGTTGTTTTTCCAGTTGTGAAGTTTACAGTAAATACCTTAAATGTTCTGAGCCTCAATTCCCTTACCTACCAAAAAACAAATTTTACCTCATGTAGCGTAGTGGTTACGAATCAGGTTGTGAACCTTAAGCTCAGCAGTTCAAAACTACCAGCTGTTCCGCAGGAGAAAGATGAGGCTTTCTGCTCCCGTAAAGATATACAGCCTCAGAAACTCTGTACAGGGTCGCTATGAGTCGGAACTGACTCCACAGCACATAACAACAACAACAACAACAGAGATGATATAAAAATTAAATTAGATTTTATTAATAGAATGTCTCATCCAGTATCTGACACAAAGTCAACAAGAGATGGTAGGTATGGTATTATTTCAATCATTATCATTGTCCAAAGACACTATGTGACCCAAGCAATGCTCTTCTAGCCCTCATCCCTCCAAAATATATCAATAAAACTTTTAAAATTCTTCTTAAAAGTGAGATGACAAAAAGGCAGATATAGAGGTACCCAGGGAAATCTATTAGGTGCAGAATCCTATTCCCCTTAAGAAGTCTTCCCTTCTCTTCTTCCAGTTATTTCTCCAAACCCTGAAATATTGCTGCATTTCCACTTGGCTGAGAGATAAGTCAGGTGGTATTTGTTAAAAAGTATCTAACATGAGAGCTACCAAGGAAAATCATTCTGCCAGCTTTATGAAAATGAGGATGCCCAATTGGATAGCTAATATTATCCCAACCCAACCAGTTAAAATGTTCCATTGTCATCAAATCCACTTGAACTCATAGTGACCCATGTGCATCAGAGCACAATTGTGCTCCATAGAGTTTTCAGCGGCTGATATTTTAGAAGTAGATTATTAGGCCTTTCTTCCAAAGAACTCCTAGGTGAAGTTGAACCTCCAACTTTTCAGTTAGCACTGAAGGACATGGATAAAAAGTAGTGTTCTGTTTCTCACAGGCAGAATCCCCCTCTGGCTCACGGGCAGTCTCCTCAGATGTGGGCCAGGTCTCTTTGAAGTTGGATCTGAGCCATTTTACCACCTGTTTGATGGGCAAGCGCTCCTGCACAAGTTTGAATTTAAAGAAGGACATGTGACATACCATAGAAGGTAAATGAGCACTAGGTCTAACTCCTCCTTGTGGGGGAGTAGGAGTCTAGCCTATCTCTTCCTCCCCTGTGGTTTTCAAAATTCTGAACCCAGGAGAGAACCTCTAGACCTTCCTTTCTCTCAGAATCCATCTGGGCCAGTGGGTCACCTGGGTCTACATAGATACCTTGGAGCCATGATACAGGATAAAAAAAAAAAAGCTAAAAACTAGAGCCTTGGCTTCAAGTCCTATATCTACCAGACACCGCTTGCCTAGGAGGATGAACTTCAGGATGATGTCATCCTTTATTCCTTGGTTTGTTGTTGTGTGATGTGAAGTTGGTTCTGACCCATAGTGACCCTGTATAGGGTTTCAGAGGAGCAGCTGGTGAGCTTGAACTGCTTACCTTGTGGTTCAAATCGACTTTGGAGTCCAGTGCATTAACCACCAGTGCCACACCAGGACTCCTAATCCTTGATTTAGACCTTAGTAAAATGGGAAAAATAATAAAGTTTACAAGAATTAAATGAGAATAATCAATGTTTAATACATAGGAAGCAGTTAGTAATAAAAGATTGTTACTGATGCTATTATTAATATTATTATTGTTAGACCATTGTCTCAGTTGATTCCTTCCCTTTTTTATAGTCAGAAGGGCCACTGGGAGAAGGGAGAGGTGTCACAAAGGAAGCAAAAACCAAGTGTGACATAATGCCGCAAGACAGAGCACAATTCTAAAATGAGAGCTATTGCTAAGAGGCTTGATGGCTAAGTGATCACTGCAGGGAGCCCCCATGACCACCACCATGAATAGTTTGCCTTTTAAATAGTTTACAGGTCTGTTATTGGTTTCGTTGACCCAGGTATTTTGGAGACGCATTAAAAAGAAAGATAAATGATGGTCAACTGGCATAACCTAGTTACTGTTATTGATGCTATGGTTATTAGACCATTATTCTACATTGTCTAGAGTAGATAATGCTCTCCAGTCTATTTTGGTGAGTAGTGACTGGAATCTTAAAAGCTCATGAATGACCATCAGGTGCCCTGTCCGGAGGAAAGAAGAGTAACGAAAATTGAAGACACTTGGAAACAATTAGTCCAATGGACTAATGAACCACATGAACATCAGTCTCCATGACCCTGAGACCAGTAGAATTAGATGGTACCTGCTTACCACTACCAACTGCTCTGAAAGATATCACATTAGAATTTCCTGGATAAGAGGGTGAGAAATGTAGAACAAAGCTCAAAATCACAGAAAAGACCAGGCTTACTGGGCAGATGGAGACTGGTGGAACCAAGACAATGGCCCTTGGTCACCCTTCTGATCTGGAACTGAATTCACCCTCCTGGACTCAACTTTAAGTCAAGCAATTGATAAGTATGCAAGACGGACAATAACACTAGGAAGGTATGTCAACCATTGGTGACCAAAAAATCAGCATTGACCCAAGGACAAAGTTTAGAAAGATTGGGAAAAGTGGAAGAATGAAACCAAAAAACACAAGGAGCAAGTGGGAAAAGTGATGATACATTGAGGGGATTATAGTCACTCAGATGAAACAAAATATATGCAATTCACAATAAAAAGTTGTTTTCGTTTTTTGTTTGAGAGTATCTGGGAGATTTGAACTATATCCACTCCTCACTTGTTGACATGTTTAGGTTCCAAAGACCAGGTCATTCTGTGAAAATTGACATACACTAAAATGGAGAGTGACCACACCAGATCACAAAATAGAGAATGGCTACATGGTCACATCACTTCCAAACCACTGAGGATCATGGCTCAGCCAAGTTGACACATAACCTTAACCATCACCACCAGGCACCTTAGCATTCATTACTGACAGACATAGGCCATAATGCACACAATAGTAAATTTTTTGGTGTTGTTGAAAGTTGGAAATTCAGGTAATGAGATATTCGATAAGTGAAAAGTAGGCATAGTCAAAATATATTAGAGTACAATCTACTAGAAACAGATTTTATAATACTTTGGTCATGCAAATATTTAGCCATGAGAGCATAATTTAGAATTTGATATACTTTCATACATCTTCTGAAGACCTTAATAGTTTTTCTGCTTCATGGAAGTACAATATCAAATATTAATTGACTCACAACATGAGAAAGTCTAGGCAAATGATAGCATGTAGTTTGGGATAAGTTTCAGGAGGTTTTTCAGTACAAGAGATTGCGTTTTTGTTTCATGTTTTAAAAAAATACAAGAGGAGCAGAAGGAAGATTAAGGAGAGTATAATTCAAAGTTCCATAGCCTATAATTCCCCCACTGACTATAGGTTAACAAATTAAATCTACAGGAACTCAGAGGTCCTTTTTGGACGACCCATGGGGGGGGGGGGGCGTGAATGTTGTAATGACAAGAGTTCTAACCTAGCTCTGCCACATAGAGTAATCACTTAACTTTTCTGAGCCTCAATTTCCTTATTTGTCACTTTAAAGCTTATAATATATAGTGAAATTTAAGGTCAGGGCACATTTTCCCTTTTTTCTCTGGTCACCCCAAGAAGTGATCTGATATCATTCTTTATTCTTCATGCTGCGAATATCTGGTTCGAATGAGGACACATAGAATGACCATTTGAGGCTCCCCATGGACTAGCCTCAAGGAGTTCTGGTAGCGTCGTGGTTAGGAATCGGGCTGTGAACCACAAGGTCAGCAGTTTGAAACTACCAGCTGTTCCGCGGGAGAAAGATGAGACGTTCTGCTCCCGTAAAGATTTACAGCCTCGGAAACCCTGTACAGGGTCGCTGTGGGTTGGAATTGACTCCATGGCACACAGCCACCAGCCACCACCATGGGGTAGCCTCATTGTCTCGGTCTACTACCTTTTCTCATGTCTCAATACCCTTCAGGTTCATTCGCACTGATGCTTATGTCCGGGCAATGACTGAGAAAAGGATTGTTGTGACAGAATTTGGGACCTGCGCTTTTCCAGATCCTTGCAAGAATATATTTTCCAGGTAATCAAAACAAACTACTTACTATTAGTCCCTTTTCTCTCATGGCTTGAGAATTGTTGGACTGAAAAATTCACTTGCGTTTGCAGGTTTTTTTCTTACTTTCGAGGAGTGGAGATTACTGACAATGCCCTTGTTAATATCTACCCAGTGGGGGAAGATTTTTATGCCTGCACAGAGACCAACTTCATTACAAAAATTAATCCAGATACCTTGGAAACAATTAAGCAGGTAGGCCACCATGCTCAAGTGATATCCTTTAGAAATACAGAATTTGGAACTTAGAATAAAATCAGCTGTGCAATTTAGTGGAAAAAACATGAGAGCCAGATAAATCAAAGTTTAAATCCTTGCTTTGCCACCAAATACTAGTTATGTGATCTAGAGCAACCTTTGTTTCTTCATCTATGAAATGGGGGAGGTAATATTATTTTAAACATTTACTAGGTAGATTAAAAGAATACTATATAAAATGCCAAATGCATTCACTCATTCATGGCTCAAATATTTACTGAGTGCTTTTCATGTACCAAAATTTGTGCCAGATAGAAGAGCTACATTAACGAGTGAGCCGACCTGGTCCCTGTCTTTCATATCTTTTGTAGGTTAGCAAGGGACACGGCACACGGGTGCTCAAAAAGTTGTAGCTATTATTATTGATATAAAAAATCTTGTAATTAATGGTTCTAGTCATGTTTTCCCTTTCTTGTGGAAATTTCTCAGTAGAAATAAAATTATATGTTAAATGAAATATCACAGAGAAAGGTATCAGCAATATTAGAAAATCACTTCAAAATAAAATGTAGTTTAAAATTTTAGATTATTCGTCTTTTACTATTTGCCCTAGACAATCTGATTGCAGTAGATACTGTGGATGATGTGAGATCTGCATTCTCATTGCCGATGGGAGACAGAATATGATGAGTCCTTTAAGAGAAGGAAACATTTCTATGAAAACACAGAAAATAAACATGTTTTTTAGCAGTAGTTGTAGGGATGTGAACAGGGACAGATTGAGGAATAGGCAAAGGGCTTACATTTGATGTGAAACTTAGAGAAGAGATACAACTTCAGTGAATTCTGGGTAAAGACATTCCCGGTGGAGGGAGTAACATAGAGGACACAGAGCAGGAAAATAGAGGACATTCTCATGGTTAGATTTTCAGTATTTCTCAATGAGGGTGCTCATTATGGGGGCTGTTCACATGTTGCAGAGCTGGGGAATACCTGACTGCATCTAGTAAATATAGGTCATGTCCTCAGTCCCTGTACACTTGCAATAAACTCCCACATGTTCCAATCTCCCACATCCTTCACAGAAGCCACATTAAACTATCGGTGATTCCCAAACAGAACACACCATTTCATAACTCAATATGGAGTCCTGGTATGGCACTGCAGTGCAAGTGCTGAACTGCTAATCACAAGGCCAGCTGTTCAAACCCACCAGCTCTTCCTCAGAAACCCTATACGGGGTCACTATAAATTGGAACTGACTTGATGGCACTTAACAACAGCAACATATGTCATCAGAGGTCCATTCTCTGGAACTGTCATCATCCTTCTACACCTGGCTAACTCTCATCATCTTTTAGTTGAAATAATTGCCCTCAGGAAGCCCTGCCTAACCTCTGTCTGGATTAGATGATATCTCTACAGATACTGTTTTGTGTTCACTATGTTGTCTAACACATTATTGGCCTAACACAGTTTATAAGAACAGAATGTTTTATATACATATATGCATTGTCGAAGTGCTATTGGGCACCTGAGCGATGCTTCAAACCTAAAGGCTAGCAGTTTGAATGGAGCCAATGGGACCACAGAAGAACAATCTGGTAATCTACTTCCACATAGATTATAGCCAAGAAAACCCTATGGAAAATTTCTTTATAATATATAGTAACCAGATACTAACCGGTTTGCCTAGGTTTTTGTTGTTGTTGTTACTGGATGCTATTCTCAGCAACTAACACAACTGAGAAATTTAATTTGCTGTTTTATTTAACTTTAATTAGTTTAGGTTTAACCATTTCATGACTCATGACATTTGTATCATTCACCAACATTCCAGATTTACATCCCCCACCAACATTCTAGGTTTTTGGGGAAGTTGTTATCCTCGTTGTAGTAAGTGCTACCTATTTCCTGGTGGGGACCTATATAACTGCATGAATCTGAACAGACCTTACCACAATAATCCTACCATGAGTCCATTTGGGACATATGTGACCCACATAATTGTATTAAAATCCATATTATCTAAAAAATGATTTCCCTTTACTGAAAATACATGGTATCAACAAAAAATTCAAAGCAGAAAATAATTCAGCCAGGAAGGGGTTGAATGGCTAGGTACTGGCAGCACATGTCCAAAACTGAAATTCAATTTTTTTTTTTCTTTTAACTTTTTATTATGAATTGAGTGTAAGTTTATAGAGAAAATAATCAGATTTACATTCAACAAATCATACACTTCATTTCAGTTCAATGATTGCAATCCCCTCCACAAAACATCAGTTATCCCGCTTCCACCATGTGATTCTTATTTCCATTACACCCTATTTCCCATCCTTCTGAACGTTTAGACTGAAGTTCTTGATAGCAAGACCCGCCTTCATTTTCTTAACCTGTAGCACAGATTCTGGCACCTACTAGAAGCTCAGTAAGCATTTGGCAAATGATTGAATGAATGAATGCCTTGCCTATAATTTTAAAAAGCATACTAAAACCCCCTTGTGCTTTAACAATTATTTTTTCAGCAAATAAAATTTTCATTAGATAAGTACATAATCTGCTAATTACTTATTAAATCAATCTTTATTGAACATGTCCCAGGTAGAAATTCTACTGCTGATCTTGCCAACATGTGGTCTGTAGTCTTAAACAAGTCACTTGACCAATCTAGGGCCTCAGTTTCTTCTATAAACTTCGAGTTGGCATTATATTTGTCACTCTGAAATTTTTATGAAATTCCAAATAAATTGAAGCACCGAATCTTCAAAAATGTTTGCATTTGATTGTAGGAAATTCATGGCTCCTTGAAGTCTATTTAGGTTGCCCCATCCTGGTGTGGCA